TGCCAAATGAAAAGGTAATACAGTATGTGTTTTATCTGGTTATACTACAGTATAAAACTGTATATTCATATCTATAAACATTGATTATCACAAGCCTATTATGGTCTTCATTTATAATAATATACAATTAAAGAATTTTTACTTAAGATTTATGACAAATGCTAATAAAACTTATATAAAATTCACACACATATTGCCTAATATATCTTGGTGTCGCCTAGAATGTCAAATGCAAAGTTCAAATGCTTCAGACAAAATTAACTTTAATTATTGAATTAAATCTTTGCCAATTATAACAAATGCAACAGTTATGGATTACAATTAATAGTCATCGTAACAAATATAAGCACTTGCTTTTGAACCAATTGCTGGGTTAAAGAACGACAATGACCCATAATTAACACCCAGACGGTGCACCTATGTAAAAGTACACGACTAAAAGTGGTTAACAAATCAAATGAGGGAGGAGGGGGGGACAGATAGTGATTTAAGCAGTGTAAGGGTCAAGTTTGGAGCAATGTAAGCATCAAATTTGGAACAGTGTAACCATCAAATTTAGAGCAGTGTAAGGATTAAAATTGGAGCAGTGTAAGGATTAAGGTTGGAGCAGTGAAAGGGGCAAATTTGTAATTACCTAGGTAAAATTAAGTTAACCAATCACATGTGTAAAAGTAGTTAACAAATCAAATAGGAAAAATCAGATAATGTTTGAAGCAATGTATGGGTCAAATTTTGAAGCAGTGTAAGGGGGGTCAAGTTTGGAGCAGTGTAAGGGTTAAGATTGAAACAGTGTAAGGCTTGAGACTGGAGCAGTGTAACTGTTAAGGATGATCATTGGTGGTGGGGGTGGGGGGGCAGTATACAGCTATTTACTGACAATGTGTGCACAACCCAGCAACCTTGCTGTACCACAACCTTAATCACATAAATACTGTGTTCTACTACTAATAAAAAATCAACATTCCAGACACACACATCAGTGAATTAGATATGTTATATTATTAGACAATTAAAAAAAAAACAAATTTCTTAAACTGTTCTATCATGTTCTTAGTAATTATTAATTATGATCATTGACTTTTAAACTCTCAAGAGATTCAAAATTGTCAGCTGTTAATTTATTCAACTTGTAATAATTATTTTACAGTCACTTTTCTCTTTACTGTGGAGTAAAGAGAATGCCTTTTAAAATTCCTTTTACTGTGGAATTGGTTGATTCATTATAGGTCTACAGCACTATGAATACCTTCACTATACACTAGCTGCCACTTAATGTGAAATAGACCACTAGCATTATGCCTAAAAATATTTTTTTTTTCATAGTTTCTTGCTTGAACTACTGTAAATTTATAACTTCACTTGTCATTTAACAGCCACAGCAAGACTACCTAACCTACAGCTGTAAGCACCATTATGACTAGGACCATCATTGTATCTCCAGTTTCTCGCTTCATCTTGAGTTTATTTAAAAAAAGAGTTTGATAAACTACTCATATGTCTGGATAATAATGGCTAAGCATCTTCATAAAAACATATAAAGTCTCCTGAAGTAATTCTGTATGAACAAAATGCTCAACAAAAAATTTGTCAATTTGCTATTTATGAGTCTTGTGTTAAAATTATATTCATCCAAATTAATTGAAAGATTTTGTCCTTTCACTGATCCTGAGCAACCTCATCACAACCTGCCACCACTCTGCGGCATGTTGAGTGCTACCTCAATTCACATGCAATTTTGACTTGAAGGAGACTATGACTGAAACAAGCAAAATAATAACAACAATTCTACGTACACAAGCCCATCCCACACATGGAATGTCAAATACAAAAATAATTAAATTATTTTACATTAAATATCACACCCTCATAAATAATCCCACACCAAAACATCAATGTTATTCACCACAACTAAACCAGTCAAAAATTAGAATACTATACAGGATATATATAAATTATTATAAAATTAGTAAGGTACCGTATTCAATGTTACTTTTCAACAAATGTAGAAGTAATGCATGGAACATTGAAGTGCTTAGTTATACTTCAACCCCTATTAAAAGTACATTTGCATACTAATGAACTAATGGCACCTGAAAAACAACAAAATTATTATCAAACTAAAGACCACTAATAAAATTTGTTTTTAATTTTTTTTCTACAAAAATCAACATAAAAACAATGTGTCTTGTGTCAAGTGTGCTTGAATGCTGTTTCAAATGTGAAAATAAGGGTTACTTATTTCAATTGCTTAACCAAAGAAAATAAGTACAGTAATTATCAAAGAAGGCGCCAAGCCGGGAAGGCTATGTAGCACCATCAAATGTGCAGAATAATCAGAGGTTGCTAAATATCACTAAAATACCAATAAGAGAACAGAAAGGCATGAGGCGAACAATATCAAAAGTATCCGATTCACCAAGAATTCTATCGAGGGACAAGTGACCGAGAGGGACGGTCGGAAAGCAAGACGCACGCGTCCTGGAAGTCAAGACATTCAACATGGATATGCACAACTGTAAGAGGGACAATGCAGTTAGGACAATAAGGAGCAGGGCGGCGTTCCATTAAGTGCTTGTGAGCTAAGCGCGTATGACCAATACGCAACCTTGCCAGAGCCATTTCCTACAGCCGGTTTCGGTGATATGAGGAAGGCCACAAGGACACACTACTCTTGAGAGTATGCAGTTTGTTACCAGTAACAGACAACCAACAACCCTGCCAATGGGCAAGGATGGAGGAATGAATAAGTGGGTAAAAGTCGGAATAAGGAATACCTTTACGGAAGATGGGACAAGTGCGGATGGCTTCCTTAGCGGCAGTGTCCGCACGCTCATTTAAAGACACACCAATATGGCTGGGAACCCAGCAAAACTCGACTGTCTTAGATTTACTGGAGATGAGAAACAGCCAATGTTGAATCTCGATTACCACCGGATGGACTGGATTAAAGGACTCAGAACCATGAGGGCACAGAGAGTCAACTACAACCACAAAGGAGGATTGACAGCGAGAAAGCAGGAGACGAAGAACATAAAGAATAGCATAAAGTTCTGCCGTAAAGATGCTATTCTCCGGATGCAGGCGACACATATAGGTGCAGACAGGAAAAACAACAGAAAAGGAAAGCATTCACATAAACCTAATGGTAAATCTTTACAATTAGGTTTACACATATAATTGTAAAAAAAAAATGTTTCCATATTATAATATTGTAGCAAACTACAAACATCTGCTCAGTTTTTCAATGCCGTTTTAAAATAATACACAACACAGTAGTTGCCTAGATAAGTTGTCTAACAGTGCATGTCGCATCGCTGGCTCGTGTGCTAATTTCATGAATTTTCAATTGTTTGTTTACATTGTTCGAGAGTTCTTTTGGGGATTTTGAGGCATCAATATTTCTTTACAACCAGCAGTAGTCACTTTTTTTTTCCGCTGATTTTGTGGGTGCTTCCCCGAACATGATTAAAATTCATTGCCAATTTTGTCATACTATCAGTGCGCCTCTTCAGAGGGGACCAGGTTCTGGCCCATGTCTCCAGGAGGTCTAAAAGAACTCCACAACTGATGGCACCTAGTAGTTAGGTTCTGTATCAGCATTGCAGCTTCAGAGGGGCCACAAGGGGTGCCCACTAGAAAAGAAGTTAAACTCTTAACTCAAAAGAGTGGATATGAAAATTATCCCCTCGCCTGTGCACAAAAACTATATCAATAAAATGGAATGTGTATGTCTGAGGTGGAGGCTATATATTTGGAGTTAGCCTCACCCAACTTTCCGAGATGAATAAAGCTCAGAAGGGAAGTGTCAAAGACTAGTCAGGGTCGGTCCAAGTAAATTGATTTAAGAAATATTGGTATTTATAGACCCCCCCATTGTGATTTTCAAGACGTCTGAAATGATGGTTGTTTCCCATAGAGTTGTTTAGCAGTCGACGTACAGTACTGTACTTTGTAATACATTTTCTGAGCATCGGAGGGTGGGAGGGAAGAGACAGAATGAGAAGGGGATGGGGGAGGGAACGAGGCCCCAGTGCAGCCAAGTACCCCTTCTAGTACCTACCTTGAGGTTACCTTTACCTAGTACCTAGTAAATAATAAAAAAAATAATTTGTTCTTGAAGAATATAAGTACTGTATGGAAAAGGTAAAGAAACATACATATATATTGAAGTCTTTTCGGACTTCATAGACAGGATAAAATACAGAACAGTTTGCCAAATCATGGTGCAGGGGTGAGGACACTCGTGTTCAAGTTGGATGGTTATTACGTTTGTTGCTTCACTGACAATCAAATTTCCAAAGTAAAAATTTGTGTACTCACCTCCATTGATCTCCGCACAGCTGCTAACCAAAATGGTAGACTGGAAGGCAACAAGTGAGGGCTGCCATCACCCCTGACTCTGGTGATGGTGGCATGTGTTGCCATCTAGTTGCAACTGGGGCAGTAGCTAGCTGTCAATCGGTAATTTGCACAGCAATAATTGGGCACTATGATAAATTCAAATTACAGTACCATTTAAAGGGGCTTCTTGAGTGATATTTCCTAACTTTTTATTATAGAAAGCAGTAATGCTGTGTGATACTGTTTGAAATGTGGTTTCACTAGTAAAGTGAAAATTCCATCTCCTTTATGTACAGGAATCAATCCTGTTAAAACTACCTGTGTGTTCATGTATATGTGAACTATGTGAAAGGTCTTTGAAGGCTCAGTATGACTACGAAATACAAGAATTTAATTTTTTTTAAATAAAATACACAAACTTATTTTTTAGCAAGTTCAGTACTACAATTTTCATTTGTATGCAGACGTGCAGTTTTTCAGCAGAACAAGGTTCCATATTCAAATACAGAGGCAATGACTGTATATACAGTACATAATAGAAGTCTAAGCTTTTAGTTTACCATTTTTAATCAAACTATCCACTTTGAACCTTTGAATATACAGTAAGTGAGAAACAGAACTACCAACTCTTTACTGGTGAATATATAGTAATTGAGAAATAAAAGAATACTTTGTATTTCAGTAAACATTAAAATTAAATTACAGATTTAAAATAATGATTAACAAGTATTAATGTGGAACATTTACATAACAAATCTACTACAGTACAGTATATTAATCATCTGTTGTAGAAATCCTTCAGAACAAACAAGAAACATAATTAAATAACATAACTACAATAATAACAGTGATTTTTCAACATCTAACAATGCTTTCGGATAACCCAACCAACACACATGAAATTAAATTAAAGTGACAATATTTCGGTTTGTCGTGGACCTTTAAAAAGTCGTGACACAACTGAATATAATTAAGGATCCAAGACAGACTGAAACCTTGACATTTCATGTGTGGGTTACATTGTTTCAGTCATGTTATTGTGACTTATTCTCTGCAATAGGTTCTAAATTGTTCTACCACATGTAACATGGCATTAAATGTAAGCAATATTCTATAACTGGTTAACAAATACTAAAACTTCAGATAAAGCTTTACAAACAGACTTCACTACTGAAGGAAAGCTAACTTATTTATATTTCATTCTGTCTGATATTATTTGCTAAATATTACTGGGCACTACTATATCAACATCAGACTAGTAAATATAATACAGTATCTAGGTCCTTACAACTACAAACATTTTATAATTTAAGAAATATCTTTCACGTAACCTTAGAATGTGGAAGAAAATAGTACTGACTAATTTGTACATCTCTGTGATTAATGCCTAACACCCCAAGACTGAGGTTTAGTACGTGCAGCACATCTCTGTGATCAGTTTAGTAGATGTAGTACATCTGTGATAATGCCTAATACCACAAGACTGAGGTTTAGTACAGGCAGTACGTCTTCAAAATATAACCCAGGCCTATCAAGCTCAGACAGAGGCTATGGAGACAAAAATCCAAACAACAGATATTTTCATAGGATATTTGGAAATGTAATATACCTGGTGACTACTCAAATTTCCTCTTCACAGCTATCGATCAAATTCTAATTCAATTAAATAGAATGTTTGAAAATGGAATTCAAAAGCTGTACTAAATTACCCTCCAAACAAACATTGACTGTGTTAAGCCATACGAGGCATCAATCACCTTCTCATCATACCTAAGTGCTGCACATAATTTGTATAAAACTTATTTGTTTACTTTAAAATTAAATACAAATAAAATAGAAAATACGGTTAAAAAATATTTTTTTTACTAAAGTAAACTTGTAAATTACTTATTGTAAAATTATCAGTCTTGAATACATAAGTACAATAATTACAATTATGGCTACTCTAAAGCTTTTATTCCACGATAAAATCAGAATAAAGCACAAAAAATAACAAGCAAGAAAAACATTGAGGCTGTACAATGGGCTCAAACCCGTACACAGCTGCAACATTTCCCCCATAGATGCATCACATTGTTGTGATTTCATTGTGTGTATTGCTCCATCTTCAAGTTTACCAGGAGAAATTAGCCAAGGTAGTTGCAGTTTAGTTCCCACTACTGTATTATGCACGCAGTAGTTGACAAAGAGGTGCACCATCTCTTCAGTACTGCAATTACCACATCAACCCCTAAAACAGCTCGCCAATGGGTGCATTCTGAAGCCACAGGTCATGTAAGAAATTGTACAGGTCATCTGTAACGCCAACCTAGAATGAGAAAAATAGCATATATGTTGTAAATATTTTAAACTGAAAATACTTCATGTTGATAAGTCACTGATAATGAGGACACATGATTATTACAATACTGATTAATACATAACAAATATTTAAATATATACATAGCTGCAAAATTTTTTAATAATAATTTGCAAAATACAGTACATGTAATGCAATGCATTACATATGTAATTATGCAAATATGTGAGAATGCAAATATGTAAAACTAAAGCTGCTAATAAACCAAAGTAAAAATACACCTATTTGCACATGTGTATGACATCCAGACACAGTGATCAATGTCATTTCCACCTTGCCTCACTCTCATGAGATATGGGAAGACACCTGTTAGGAAGGGACGCACGAGCATTATTGGAAAAGTGGGTTAGGTACATCAAATAGTGGCAGCTTATCTTTCATGATTCAGTACCTCCCGTGCTTGGCAAAATATATATTTCAAGATATCAGTACAAGGCATTCAAGGAACTATTTCAGTAGCTCTGTATGAAATACTGTACTGCAAAGCACAAATTAATTATCATTCATTCCCTCCTAATAAAATCAGTGTTGAATGTAATGAAACACCATTTTCTGGGTGAGCCCCAGAGGCTCCCTGGAGCTATTGGACTGATATATGCTGTATTAGTCTGGGGCTTTAGTCAATGGAGTTCTGTCTACCGGGGACCACTAGCCAGAACATGGCCCCTCAGAGAGGTGCAGGGAGCAATGGCCCTAGGAAAATCCCCTTGTATTTGGGGGTATTCCATCTGACATTGACCGGGGTTAGGTACTCAAAAGTAGGCATCTCAAAACAAACCCCCTCATGGTAGGAAATGGCAAAAAACCCAAGACCGAACAGAGAAACAGAACTCCCCAAAAGGAAGCAAAGTTAACAAGCAAAAGTCATTCACCTCAGTCGTGCCGCTTGTCCAAGCAGCTGTGCCGCTTGTCCAAGCAGCCGTGCCACTTGTCCAAGCAGCCGTGCCGCTTGTCCAAGCAGCCCTCCCCAGGAGGGGGGAGCCCCAGACCCTTGCACTGGATACTCACATTTCAGTTCAGAGGCTGAGCATCAAACACTAAATCGCCGACTGGAGGGAGAGAGCTCACCAAGAAAATGGCGCTTTATTACATTCAATGCTGATTTTCTGAGGGGGAGCCTCTCAGGCTCCCTGGAACTACATAACCAAAGATAAGTAAAAGAGGGACATACCTGGGAGGCTTCCACACCGCGTGCCTGAACTCAACTGGCAACCGGCTGTAAGACAACAGACGAGACAACTGGCTGCAACCTGTGTCCCAAGGCAACACATGAACAACTGGGACCGGGAACATTCACCAATTAGCACGGAATTAACATGCATTTTCAAAGACAGAAAACACAAGACCGGGCAAAAAGACCAACACCCAAACGTTCCAAGAGGAACAGACAGGGTAGGGCACCCCAAAGAAAGAACAAAATAGAAAGATAGCAACGGGAGGAGAAAAAGACTCCAGATGGAGGTGAAACAACAACCCTTAAAAGCGAGCTCACACGCCCCCACAGTTACATGTAAACAAACAAGCTACAGCACCACCCTGGTGGCCAGAAAAGGAAGTGCCCACAGAAGAAAACGCCATCAAAACAAAGGAGACGCGTCGGTCGTAAGGAAGTCGAAATCCTGACAGCAAATGGGGGAAACGAAAGCAGATGTGAAGGAGGAACGCAAACAACCCCAGCCCCAGCTCCGACCCCAAAATCTGCAGACATTAGGAAGCCGACAGCAGGGGAAGGAACAGAGGAACCACAACAGCAGGGAAAGGGTCCACGGGCATGGACTAAACCAAGGCCGAAGTGACCAGTACCCCCAAGGCTGACCTTACCAAAACGGGGCAGCCTCGGGGCATTCGAGCGGGCAACCAACCCAGTGCATTGCAAAAACCTAAACCAACCAAGCAACGTGACAGCTGCTTGACCCCTAGGATCTTCCTAGCCCCTAGGACCCCTAGGAACGAACAACCTACGAACTCACACAGGGTGAGATAGGACTCAGAGGACGCATCCAGTGGTCAACCAAGCCCCGACGGGATTTTCCAGGGCCCGCAGGGGGTTTTGTCTGCAGGAAGCCCAGGCACAGGTGCTGCAAAACCAGTTGAACCCAAGGAAACAACGGCAAAGAGGGAACTGGGCTAATAACTGAATCCCCATGAAGTGTACAAGTTCGAAGGCCTAGAGGAGGGCAACCAACATTATCCTAATTAGATTGAATAGTTAAACTAAGTAGATCTCCTCCATGCAAGAAACAAAAAGAAACTAAAATCCCTGCAAAAGTACAATGACAACAGGAGGAACAGGAAACACGGCAGCCACTAGGCATGCACCCCTATCCAGCAACAATAACACTCCCTACCCAGAGTCAAACAAAGGCCATGAAACCCCAGCTTGCCACAAGGGTGGGGTAAATGCCGAGCAGCAGGAACCCCAACAGGAGTGGAAGCCCAAAGATTCTAGGGAAGGCAACCCCTAGAACCCAAGGGTAGTATTTATAGGACGCTCAGGGAAGGCAGCCCTAAGCTCATGCAGTCACAGTACACTATGTTACTCCTGGCCACTACGCCACAAACAGCAGGAAAACACCACAAGTGCACAAAATCCAGCAAGAAACCAAGGCCAGAGTTGACAATCGCCCCAGAGCGCTTCAGCCTATGAACTGAGGTGTGAGTAGCTTGTCCAGGGCTCCCCCCCACCTCCCCATACCGAGGAGGGGGAGGGCTGCACGGACAAGCAGTGCGGCAGTGGTGAATGACGTTTAATTGTTTCCTTTTGGGAAGTTCTGTTTCTCAGTTTTTTTTTTTTTTTTTTTTTCAATTTCTTACCATGTGGGGTTTTTGACATGCCTTCCTTTCTGGGTGCCTAACCATGGTCGATGGCAGATGGAATACCCTCAAATACACGGGGATTTTCCTAGGGCCATTTGCTCCCTGTGCCTCTCTGAGGGGGCCATGTTTGGTTAGTGGTCCCCGGTAGGCAGAACTCCATTGACTGAAGCCCCAGACTAATATAGCATATATCAGTCCAATAGCTCCAGGGAGCCTCTGGGGCTCCCCACAGAAAATGTTTCCAGCTTATTGTCATCTAAAGATGAACTTATAGCTAGTTTTTGATCTACACCCTGTAATCTTTCATATAGAAGAGGATAGCAGCACATTGCTGTGTATACCTAAGCTTGTTTAGATTAAAAAAAAAATCTATTATGCATTGTTCACATAATTCCTGTTGTCAGGGACAGGAAGCTTGTACCTATAAGCTTATCTAAGTCCCCTCTACACTAACTACACTCGACTTTCTTCAAGATTGCAAACCCTTACAATTTCCTAACAACTGGATACCCATTTAGCTAGTAGGTGAAGAGGGGCAGCAAATGAAAGGAAACGTACCATTTCACTCCTGTCCGAGGTTAGAACTCGGGTCCCCGTGTCCGTCTTCTCCCGTTTCCTTACTTTACTCACTAATACTGGCATATACACTGTATAGTACTCTCATCATCTATTCAATCCACATTGCCATAACATTCTTGCATGCTTTCCTAACTATTATGAATCAGACTGTCAAACTCCATGTCTGATATTGTTACAGTGTACTGTATTAACTTTTTATGTAATTACCTAAGTGTAGTTACAGGATGAGAGCTACGCTCATGGTGTCCCGTCTTCCCAGCACTGTCATATAACGCTTTGAAATTACTGACATGTGATAATACTCGTATGTTCCTCAGACTCTAATGAAGATTTTTCACATGTTTTGTATTCTAACCCATATATATACAACTTTTTAAATTAGAATTCAGGCTAAAAGTTTAGCATTAAATCCAAGTGTACTTATACCCCCATACATTAAATATATGTATGTATGTACAGTATCAAGTATGATGTATGTGTTTATGTATAAATAAAAAAAAAAAAAAAAAAAAAAAAAAAAAATAGGCAGTGAATGTACTGGACTGTACATGATAACCATCATCCTGAAGAAGCCACTGGCACACATTTCCTACTTTGGTTAAAAATGGTTTAAACCTAAATTTAAGTGACCTTGATTTGATCAAACAAGTCAAAGTCTAATTCATCAATTGAAGTACCACTGAGAATTACAGTAACTAAATTTTATGACATTTTGCTTAGTCACAATAATTCCTAAGAATATCTTAGTACAGCTGTACTGATTTCACAAAGCCTGCTTCCCATGACACGAAGTGCAACTGATCTCTAAGCATTAAAATCAACCCTCGACCTTTGAAGCCCATCTAATTGGTTTGGATTGCCATGGGGGTTATTTCAATGCTCTTTAATTTTGACTACTGTATGTTGCTATATATATATAAGAAATTCACATTTATTAGCAACATAAATTAACAAATGTAACGATAAAAACTGGATCTTAATATTAAGTTTAAATAATTACTAAAAATCAAAGAAAAGTTTCCAAACCAAATGTAGTGAAAATTGCCTCAGAATGCAGTTTATCAGCTTGACGGGGCTAGACCCGTTTCACCCTTGTTGATTCTCTGCTCCATCACCCTGACAAGAGCTTTACTGCTCTTGCCACAACCAGGCAGCAAGAATAACGGATGACCAAAGTGAGCAAATAATCTAACCCAATAATATCAAATAATCCATGGATTAAACAGATAATTTCAGAATACCACTAACAAATAGTGGACAGAAAGGTGCAAATGACCAGCCTCCCTGCACATGCAAGGAATAACAATAGTTGTTACACGAGATCTCATTACAAATGTTTATAAGGATTATGCTACGTACGTATTTTAAAGCAGGGTAGCACAAGCAAAAATCTTCCTAAGCGCTTGGTAACTAACCATGTTCATACCGTCTAGTATAAAACACCCAGTAGAATAGAAAAATATATATTATTGTGTGAACAAAATATTGGTAGCCTTTGCAAGTAAACAAAACACTAAAATTAGAAGTGGGGAAAATCTAGGACAGATTTTTGA